TGCTCCCAAAAGCGTCAATGAAGACCAGAGATATCTACAAAAGGTACTTTCGATTGAGGACACAGAGGGAAAGATGTGGCAAGGATGTTTGCCCCCCCCCCCCCCACCGAGAAGAAGAACAAATACATCCAACAACAGCAAGTTCTCCTCCTCCTCGGGGTCGGAGTACTGCGCGCCATCCTAAAGGAAAATAAAAAAAACAAGAACACAGACACGTGCACACACAGGTGCACCCAAGCAAACACAAGCAGACAGACACGAGAAGACACACACTCACACACACACATACACACACCAAGGCCCTCACGTCGAGCCCATCGTAAATGGGCGATGGCGGTTCCTCAAACAGATTCCAGCAGAACAAAGCAGGAACTGCACCCCCCCCCCCAGCAAGTTCTCCTCCTCCTCCTCCGGGTCGGAGTACTGCGCGCCATCCTAAAGTCACACACACACACACACACACACACACACGTAGACCAAGGCCCTCACGTCGAGCCCGTCACAAAAGGGGGATTCCTCCAGCAGATTTGAGCAGAGAGCGACAAGAATCGCAATTCCCAACCCCCCCCCCTCCCCCCCGTCCCCAACCAATTTCAGCCAGGTTTACACCTCAGCCTAGAAAAAAAAAACAAGGGCCCAGGCAGGCGTGCACACCGGTGCCGGATTGTCCTTAAACAGGTCGAAACAGCAGCAACAAGCATGGAACGCTACGCCACCAACTAAAACAACAATGAGAATTCCAACATAAAACTATTCAACTAAACTAATCGAGACAAGCCACCGGTCCATAGGATACCGGATAGGCACCCGGCGCCAGGGGCGCAGGCTCCTCATTCATAACGGAAGTAGCAACGCCAACCAACAAACATATACACCGCAAACTAACAAAACCCCCACGTTAAACCGAGCAAAGTTGCCAAGGACGGGCCATCAAGGACGACCTCAGATGGATTCCAAACTCGCACTCACCCCAAAACCATGCATTTCATGCAGTTCAGACACCTTTTCCTCATCCGACTGCATCGCCACGGCCTCAGTTGCGAGAAAAACATATGGTCCCCCGAATCCGAAGTACCACAACACACCAAATACAGACCCGAAGAAAGACATACCCTTTATGAAACATCCAAGAGACGTTGGGGAGCAGCAGCAGGACCTGGGAGCAGACTAACCAACTCAGAACCCATTTCGCCGCAGCAGGTCGCGAAACCCTCACAAACCGAGACCAATACGATGAAGGCCATGAGCTTCGCCATACCTGTCACCCGGTAACAAAGAACTCACAAAAACCCAACACAAAAAGAGGCAACAACAAGCCGAGGGCGCCTGAAAGAATGGCAGGGGGAGGCAGCGAGGGCAAGACAGGATCGCAAAGTTGCTCGAGCTAAAAAAGGTCGCGAAGGACCAGGAAATGAGAAAAGAATGGGAGACTACGCCAGGAAAAGAAAAAATCCTAAAACCCTCATGAAGCCCTAGAACCCAAAACCTTAAGTCATAAAACCTTCAAACCCGAAACCCTTAGACACTAAACTCTCATCCTTAAAACCCTAAACCCTGTGTTACCGGTGAAGCAAAGACACGTTCCACTGCACACATGCACACACACACACACAGTTTGCTTAAAATAGAAAAAAATGATTCTGAACGACCTTGAAAATCGTCACGCCAAACGCGAGTACAAATCGTATGTTGAGCCTACAAGCCCGCCCAACGCACGACGAACATGAAACATTCAATTTCACCACAAATTTCAGTTTATTGGGGCACGCCGCAAAACCCAGTCCAACCCAGCTGGTGAAACTGCTCTGAACCATGACAATATTTTCAAAGATTCTAGTAGGATGTGCTTAAAGATTCCCTCAGTCCCGTAAGCAATTCCTAGACTTGGCTCGGTGGTGGGCCCAATACCCTGAAAATCAAGAAAAGAGAGAGAGAGAGAGAGAGAGAGGGAGGGAGAGAGAGTTAGTTCTACTATTCATTGCAAGATCTCATGTTAATTAAGGAAAAATTTCCCGGGGCGATGCTGCGTTGGAGCCGGCCCAATTCGACAAAACCATTGCTTGCTCGACCGCACAACCCTACTCCGCTGAATCCCAAGAGCCTCAATCATAAAGATGTCGATGTCGGCAAATCCATGCCTGAGAATAATTTCGTGCTGTGCCTTTTCGGGCTCAGAGGTCTGCCTGAAGTGTTGTCCAGGCAGGCACCGTGCGCTCAAGCGAAGTAGCCTCACTGACTTTCTTGCCGCAGTGAGGCTACTTGTCAGAGGCCAGGAGAGGCGGCGTACTCTTGCAAAGGCACCAAAAGTGGAATAACTTGCAAGATGATGGCCAAGAGCCATCCTACTGCTCTAAGCTCCGTACCATGAGTGTCGTCGCTGTCTGGCCTGAGCAAGATGTAAATGAGGCAGAGGGAACACCTTCGCCTAAGTTATGTAAACGAGGGACAATTGCGACGTTTCAGAAACAAACGCCTATGTGCATCCGGCCATCCTGCTTTCTTCTCCGGTGCGAGTTGCGCGTCGCCCCCAAACTCAACTCCCACACGCGTCCCACTCGTCTGCAGCCCCGATCTGCGCTCGGATCCCAGAAAGAAAGAATCCAGCTAACTGTTTCTTGGGCAGGCCGAATCACGAATCAGGCCCACTCCTCGGAGGCTTCCGGCGGCCTTGGGCCCAATTCGGGTGGCCTTTGCTTCCGGCCGATCCGGCGCCGCGCCGCAGAGCGATGTAGCCGCTCGAGTGCGGCCTGCAGCCTCCTCTGGAGCTCCGCCTTCTCCCTCTCAAGAGTGGCTGAAGTGGGTACCTCCTGGATCACACCATAGATGTGCCAGTCCATGTGGTTCAGTCGTGCGCCTGCAGAGCACAGCAGGTCAAGCCAGTCTGCTAACGACTCAGGCTCAACCACAAGCAGCGCCAGGAAGATGGGTGACATCTCGCCCCAGTTCGTGGTTGGGGTGTGTGAACGCAAGAACACCACGTCGCCATCGCACCGTGTCTCCAGAGCTGCACGTAGCAGGAGCTTTGCCAAGGAGAAGTCTTGTGCAAGCACCGCGACATGGAGTGGCCGGGGGCAGAAGATGCCGCCAGGAGGTGAGTAGACGTGGTTCGGGAAAACCAGCCCAGCGACCTGTGAGGGAAGGGGCGGCACTGCTTTGCACAAGTACACTTGCATGACACCTGCTCACATGCACTGACATGCACACTGACATGCACACTGACATGCACACTCATGCACACTGACATGCTCGCAAATCTTCGGGTACGGCCTGTGGGAAGTGACGACAACATCGTCGGAGGGCTTGGAAGTGTGCTGGATCATCGCCCAGGTGCACGAATGTGTTTTCGAAGAACCAATTCCTGAGATCTCGAGACAGGACTAGCTACGTATTGCAGGTCACTTAAACGCGCCTGGAGGGAGGATATGCTCAGTATCACCCACACATGCGCGCACAAGCACGTTTTCTTTCTCTAGCTGTCTGGCTTCCAATGGCCTTGAGCAGTGCCGGAAGATTGCCCCTGTGCAAGTTCGACTGCCATCATGGGTCAAGCCCGAAGCCCAAGAATCACAACGTTACTGGACTCCTGCTCTCTCCATCCGTGAAGCCATGGGCCCTCAAGTCCTAAATCGTCAGACAAGACCAGCATCCAAGACCACGGGCCCCTCCAGAAAAAGTGCGGTTTTGATTCGCAGGCGGGTTCTGTGGGCTTTTCAGGCAGTCTCTGGTTGTAGCAGTGCTTCTTGTCAAAGATGCTTCAAATGCTCACATGCTGCAAGCAAGCAAACAAACACGATCATCAATAACAACGACGACACGGGGTGCATATCAGCATGGTCATAACACACGACACCACCATCAACCGTGATAACGTTCAACAATTTCATGGATGTAGGAAGGCGAACACTCCGCACCTCAAGCTTGGGCTGTTAGGGGAGGATGTACGGTTCAGGCATGCGAATTGTGAATCCCGCGAGGAGAGGGCACGCAGTGTGGTTGAGCCGGGTGTCAGCCGAAGCCGGTGTTCACCTGAGCTCTCGTAGCCCTTCCTGCGCATCGAGAGGAAGGCATCGTCCACAGCATATACCTGTGCCGAGGGTTTTGGGGGACGTGTCTGGTCAACCCCCCCGCCGTTTCGCAACCTCAACTTTCGAGAAGGTGTCGTCGGTGAAATCCATGGCATGTGAGAAGTCCTCAGCGCCGGCATCCCACGAGTCAACACGACGCCCAAAATTGACAGCAAGGTAGCCAGCTTAACCAGCAAACAACGGCCAAGCCACATCCTCATCATCGAGGTCAGGCCGATCTTGGTCGTCATTGAAGCCAAGTCGAACATCCTCCTCCAACCGGAACCTTAGGTCAATTGAGCTCAGTCGGAGTTTTGTTCTCTTCACACAAAAAAACCACAAAGTCATGGGCCAACTTGTGGGAAGAGGGCCCCGAGACAATTGCAGCAAACAGATCCAAGCGCATGGCAAGAGAACGAGCTGGAGTTGGGGACACTCGGAGACCGAGACGGGGAGGGCCACAGTGGTCGTGCGCTCGCCGGCAGCGAGCTTTGGGCTGAAGCATTTTAAACACCTTTCCTTCTGGTTGGAAAAGGGACTCTTTGCCGTATCATTGGCATCTTGCAGAATTACATTGCCAGCTACACAGGCTTGACAAGCCTCTGAACGCCGGGCACCATGATACCGTGAGAACACATGCGCGCACGCGCGCACGTGTGCTCGCACACAAACACAAACAAACAAACAAACACACACACACACACACACACACACACACACACACACACACACACACACACGCACGCACACACACACACACACACTCGATGACTTACTTGCGGGCTCTTCAGCCTGTATGGATTTCCTTGCTCAAAGGGGCTTGCGGAATGTTGCAGGCACGTGAGATCACTGGAGCTTGGGGGGAGATGGCCATGTGATGTGCCCCGTCTCCGCCTCACGCACTGTGATATCAATACACACACATATATACATATATATATATATGTATACTTATATTATATGTGCATATGAAATATGTTTACATGGTCACCCCTTTGTAGAACCACACATCATATAGACATGGACATGCACATACATAAAAACTCCAAAACCATGAAGTGCATAGAATTGTGGTTGCGACACCCTCCTCCCATGAACTAGGGAGGTAAGACGCACATGGCTCATTCTGAGAAATGGGTGCACTTTACAGCAGAAGGTTCCCGAGGGCGCCCCTGGCTTGCAGGGGTTGCAATATGCGGGGAGGGCAAGTTCTCAGGCACCACTTCGGCGCTGTACTCAGACTCAGCCCCAAGTATGCCCTAGCCCAAAAAGCCTGGTGCATGGATGCCACATGTGCATGCGTGACCTGTGCATGCAGAACGCGGCTGTTGTCTCCCAGAATGAAATTAACCGACAATCAAGTTCTGGACTTCGCATATGCAACCAAGCAGCAGCAACGGATAGACAGGTCAGGAGACAAGATACAGCAACAAGCAGCGTTCAGGGCCCCTATCTCAAGATCCCAAGCATTACCTCACCCTGCAAACTCGAGCGGCTGCTGCACCGCTGCGTGCGAGCGCGGGACAAAGTGATGGAGAGCAAAGGCCTTGGCCAGCCACTCAGATGTCGCTACATGACGCATCCTCTGGAGAATGCGTTCAAGTATCATGGATTTTCTGGAAACCTATTTCGCACGGAAAGGTAGCCTCCTGTACGCCCTGAAGCATGTGGCAGATACTGCAGAACGAGCAGACTATCTGACTCCACAAAGAGCCGTTGAGATTTGCAGCTCCCGTCCTGTGCGTGGGCACTGCTAGCCCGGCGGAGGGGCGTCAGCGCGACTGCACCCAGCAAGGCTGCCACCTGAGGAGACACTGAACACAACGCACATGCCCATGTGGGAAGGTGCTGCAGAGTCTGCCAAGCCACAGAAGGGATGGTCTCTGTGGGAAGCCTTGCACCATGGCCGAGGGCATTTTTCAAGAAGTTGCAGAGTCATCACGGAGCAGGGCCCGGCCGTGCAAAGAGCGGGTCGGCGCGTTGCAAGCGCTCGAGCTCTTCAGCCTTGAGACACCTTGGAGAACCAAAGGTGCTTGGTGTGGCCCAGGCAATCCGATGACTGAATCCGTGCTGTTTCCGATCAAGTTGCACGCACTCCTCAGCAGGCGCCGGACCTCGGTATTCCACCTTAGCTTGCAAAACAGCTGTATAGTCCAATGGCAAAAAAGGTATTTGCTTTTTGGAGTCACGATGTGCCCTCTTGGGCTCCGACCTCAGGGAGCGAAGACAACTTGGCCTCTCCCAGCTGGTCCTCGATCTCCGCCCTCGCGGCCCAAAATGCAGAAGCCAGCGCCTCCTCCCAGGAAAGGATTCTGGACGCTGGTTGTGTAGACCTTCTGCACTGCTCTTATGCAGATCTGCTGTTGCTCCGTCTTCTGGTGCTCTGAGTGCCGCTCCGTGCCTCCGCCTCCGACGCGGTCCCAGCCCGGCTCGCTGCCAGCGCAGAGAGGAGGGCCGGCGGCGGTGGGGGCATGGCAGAAGGATGCTTCTGTGAGCTCGGAGGGATGCCCTCTTTAAGCCAGTGATTCGGGCCCAATGTGATCTCTTCCTAGCTTCCATCGGAGGACGTTTTGGTGTTTTTTGGGAAGATCGAGGTGTGTGTGGCTGTCTACTTGGCCCATGTCCTTTCCCCTTCGCTCTCGTCTGAATCTGAGGACTGCCCGCCACCAACTCTATGCTTGGCTGGGACCAGGCCGGCAAATCGGATAGCAACACAAGCGTAGATGCCTAGAATTGGGAAGAGCATGGTGGAGCAGCGAAATAAGAACTTACTCTGAACAACTACCAGGTATAATAAACCAAGATGAGCTCTGGCCCGGGCGCAGGGTCCAATTTGTCAACCTGGAGCGTCCCGCACCCAGTTCGATGCAGAAAATGTTCCTTGCATATCTCCTCGTGGGCTGTGCACCTTCCCGAGCCCTCCCCCATGCCTTTTCGTTGTGTTCGGGGTCTGGGTGGTGGGGATCGCATCGCTGAAGCATCCGTGCAGGGCAACAAGAAACCTCAAAGGAGTGAACGCTCAAAGCAGACTCAACACAAAACGGCACTCCAAGGCGTTGGATACTGCTGAAGTATGTGACTCTAGGCGCAGGACGTGAGGCCACTGAAGAGGACCTCGAAACCGACGATCTCTCCTCGCAGAGCTTGGACTTCCACAAGAAAATTCACCAACATCTTCAACATGTCCAGCCGATGCTCATCGACATGTGTACAGCGTCCCAGACGACTGCCACGGCATTGTCTTACCAAATTCTAACTCCTCTGTTTGTCACACGGAGACATCTGCAAGCTGAAGTTCAATGTTTTCACCACGAGCATCCTCCATAATGGCGGCTGTCGTCGTGGGTGGGCCTCAAACGTTGAGTCCCGTGTTGTGGCCTTGTACATGTCTCATTCCTCGCTGTCCAGCCTCGCGTTCGGCATATGCTGTGGAAAGACGTCAGCACCTTGAATGGGCCGACTCCACGATGGCTCGATGAGTACTGGGCGTTGGATTTTCACACTTGAAGATCGGCTACTAATGTGGTGCTTTACATGCTGAGACTTATCAAAGGGTGGCCCATTGTTTGAATGCTACTTCTGTGCTTAAACTGATGACAGCCTGTCAGTGGCTCCTCAGCGCTGCTGGCTTATGCAGTTCCACCTCCCAGATTCGCGGTTGCACAGGGCATTGATGGGCAAGCACGAAACCAACTCGAGACGTCTGCAGCTGCATCCTGACGCCATGCAGAACCCGCCTTGAAGACGGGCGCCGACCGGAAGAAGCGGCCTGAGCTGTGGGTAAGAAACTCTGCACGAGCGATTTCTGCAAGTTTCGTATGATGATTCTTCATGCCTCTGAAGTTTTAAGTGACAATTGATACCCAGTAGCTTACGGTCAAGATGCTAAGTAGCTTTCAGCTACGAACCGCCTGATCTTTGGGGAGCCTGATGCTCTGGACGGCCATGGAGACTATGAGACCAAGATGCCGGCAGATGTGTAGCGCCTGGGCTTCGTGTTACTGGTCTTTTGACTATTTGATGCAGAGCAGCAAATGTTGCTCATTTTCAGTCCAAGCAGTGCAACGATGGTTGCAGGCTGTACAACGTTGTGCATTCGGAGCCGAGGCTGCCAAAAAAGACAGAATATGGAAAGCGTTGGCCGTCTCGGGTTGCGGATGTTGCGGTGCATGCAGAAGCACGGCTGGCAACAAACGGCTTCTTGGGGTTGGGAGACTGAGATGCAAGCTAGTGCGGCCACCCTACAGGAGCTATCCATCCAGATCGTCATCTTCCCACATGTCTTTTCCGTCCTTGTCTCTGCGTATATATGTTCGTCTGCAGGTGTAGAGGTGTTCTTATAAGGAGATATTCTTTACAGGCATGACCTGAAAAGCAACAAGGATGCTTCTGGCGGTGGGGGAGCCCCCTTACCAGCGGGGTTCTTGGTTGATGGAGTTTGTGCTTCGGAACTACGCAGCTTGGGTTCCATCTCGGCCGCGCTCATCGCTTCGCGGAAGTATCTCAGAACAACTGAGAGCCCGCAATTAAATTCCAAGTATTTAGGCCTGCAGGGCCTTGAATACATGCCTCCAAGACAGTACTGCTCATGAGTTTGAACCTGCATGACCGAACCTGCAGAGTACTGTGAATCCCGTAGCTTCGCGTGCGCAGGGTCATGCAGGATTCAAATCGTGAGCCGCTGGAGAGGGCATGCTTCGCACAGAGGTGAGACGCATGATGCACAGGATGTGCTGCTACTCATGCTCTGCAACCTGCGCGGCCCAAGGCAAGTCATTGTTGAGGGCGCGTTGGCGCAGGATATGTATCGGCATGAGTGCAGAAATTTGTGTGATCAGCCGGATCTCGGGCAAGACTCCTCCCTGCTTCCCTGCAATCTCCCCTAACATGCGTCGTCATCGTTGGAGGCAGACGGCGGCACCTGCTCTGCGGCAGGTGTCGGCCCGACATCTTCCACTTCAGTTTCTGACTCACGTCTGCCCATGCAAGAACGACAAAAGGGGATGTCTGGAAAGACGTAAGGGTAGGGATGGAAGATTTGACACACAGCTAGGGCCAGGTAGAGGGCGATGAACGTGATGAGCGAAAACGGGAAATGTCCACCTGGCGAGCCCCTCAAATAGCAGTTTGCATAGCAGGTCGCATGCCCTGCGTAGCCACAATGCGGCTCCGCAATGGCGAGGACTGCATGTCCGGCCGCTGCCAGGATGTAGAACTCAATGCGGAAGACTGCCGAGGGACCGCACTCACGGCGTTCACCCTTTTTGGGCTTGTCGTATGTCCACACCACAAACCACGTAAAGGCACAGACCAAGCCCTGGGCTGCAAGACCCCACATGAAGCCTTGGAAGTGCCTCTCCCCTGGGATCACCACCTCGACTAAACTGGCCAGTACCAGCACCAGCCCAAGCAGCCACAGGGCTTTCTTGAGACCCTTCTCTGGGCACATGGCCTCTACTGCTCCACAGCCGCTTTTGAGGAGGCAAGTCCATGCCAGGATGATCACAACTTTGCTGATCTGGATGGCCCAATTCATATCACCCGGTAACAGCTGCGTGGCAAGCCCCGCTGCGCCATACCCCAAAGTAGAGAGGATGTAAAAGTGCACGTGGAGCTCGTCCATGTCCCAGATCCTATCGTCAAAGTCACCGTTTTCATCCTGTTCCCAAGAGTAAGGCCTGATTCGCTTTCCACACTTCAGAAGCAGACCCATGAGGAGGGAAATCCCGGCGCAGGCATATAGGGATCCCAGGGTAGCTCCATGAGCGGCTGGGTTGTGCTGAGGGTCTGGGATCACAGGCCTTGGAGACACCAAAGCCCTGCATTCCATGGCTAGCACCAAATCGCGGCAGGAGCGCGAGAATCCTGCGGCCGGTGAAAACCTCAACTCGGAAGTCTCGGAAGGTCAATGCTGCGCGAGGAAAGCCACCGAAGGTGGAACTGTACCGACCATACCTTGGTACTTTCAACCAGGCAAAAAGCCCTATAGAGGCTCAGGAAAAAGCAGCAAAAGAGCGGCTCCGCCTCGCTGAGCTTGTGGAAGCCCTGGCCCGGCTTTGGAGCGGCCCAGGGAGAGGAAGCGACCTGCAAGGAATTCAAGGGTTTAGGGTTTAGGGTTTAGGGTTTAGGGTTTAGGGTTTAGGGTTTAGGGTTTAGGGTTTAGGGTTTGGTCCCTACCATTACGGGCACTCACCTCGGAGAAGCCGATAATATTCTTCCAAAAAAATCAATGAGATTGTCTTTTGAGACCGGTACAAGTATGAAATGCACGATTAACCCAAGGTGACAAAAATCGTCAGACCAAACAACTGCAATCCCAAATTGTAATCCAACTTTGAAAAAGCAAGCGCGGACGGCCAAAAAAAACACCCGCAAGCCCAAACTCCAAATTCCCTAAACCTTCTAGCCACAAGCCAAACCAGCATAAGCCCAAACTCTTAATCTCCAAACGTTCACAGCGCAACCCCAAACTCTAAACCCCACATCTTCAACCCGCAGGCCAAACCAATGCAGCCAAAAACTCCCCGGAGCAGCTTTGACAAAACCACTTCCTTCCAGTCCTATACTGCGTGCAGCTGCTTCTTTGTCATTTCCGCCCGCTTTGGAGTCTATGGTAAATGACCATGAACATCGCCAACAGCATCAGCGTCATCATCATCACCATCATGATCACCTTGCTGATCAGCTCGCTGCACTCGGCCGTACGCATGTGAAGCCACCTTTGTGGGTGCCATCGGCGTCGGCTGTGTCTTACCCATCGCCCGCAGCGCTCGAATCCTCTCGCCCTGCTCTTCCCACGACACGCTGCACCAAGACAACAGAAGCGGCGGATTCATCAGCAGCAACCTAAAAGGTGCATGCACGAAATAAATGCCCTTAAGGCCGAATTTGAAGTGTACGCCGATGATGTAGGCCGCTGGCAGCGTAATCATCCAAAGAGTGACAAACGTCACCCAAGCCAGCCGTGAGTGCATACCCAAGGTTCGCATGAGAGCAGCCTGCATCTTGAAGAGACCACAAGAACAGACGCATGGAGCAAAATGTGGACAAGTGCGCATGTTCATTGAACATGTGTTCAAAAAGACGTGTACAGCAAACATGTACATATATATATATGTATATCTAAGAATATGCGACCCCACCCCCACCCCCCTCTGTTGTCTACCTTGTTGGGTTCCGGACCTGGCTTTATTCAGATGCTACTCGGTGTGTTTTTCTCGATTTCCGGAGTCCCCGCTGCGAGGCGTACAGATTTTAGATCTTATAATGCGCTAAATCCTAAACTAATATGGGGCCCCGCTCTTTAGGAGCTATCGAAAAAGATTTGGGGAGCTGGATTCTTCCGTAATTCCTGAAGGCTATACATATACGGAAGAGTTTGTTTTCTGCTTTATCCCTAAAGAGGGCAGTCCCTGATTAGAAAGGCTAAACGGATCCCTGAATCCTAAAGAAAAGCTTTTAGTACCACACCCCACCGTAGGGGCTCTCTTCTTTGGGATTGCGATGAACGCCCCCCCACCCCCAAATCGTCTTTCCTAATTCCGATGTGTTTCGGACTTAGCGACAAAAAATTAGCCCCGGGGGTGGGGGGGTGGGGTACTAAAAGCTTTTGTTTAGGATTTAGGGTCCCCCCCACTTTAGGCTTGGCCAATATGACTTGGCCTTTCTAACTCAGGGACTGTCCTCTCTAGGAAACAACCAACTCTTCTGTCCATATTTTTAGAGTCTTAGAGGGAGAGGGAGAGAGAGTAAGAGAGAGTAAAAGAGAGAGAGAGAGAGAGAGAGAGACAGAGAGAGAGAGGGAGAGGGAGAGGGAGAGGGAGAGAGAGAGGGAGAGCCTGCACATTGAAGAAGCCACCTGAGAAGCAGCCGATACAGACCAAAGGCCAGATTGTCACACACAAAGCCGTCGTCGCTGCGCTGTCGGTGTACTGCGACACGATCCAATCCCTTGCAAGGTATACAATGACGCCAAGCAGCACCTGAGCCAGAATCTGAATCCTACACCCCAAAAAACGCTGAATCCTGAACCCTTCTCAAGGCGATTCATTAACTGCAAAGCCTCTTTGTGCCATCCAAATGCTGGACTACCGTAGCCCCCTTACAGGGATTTCGACTGCGTGCCTGGAGCGCCGCCCCAGCAGCAGCCCCGGCGCGTGCCACGAAAGCGGCTTCCTGAATGTGTCCCTCACCCAGGAGGGCCCCCACGCGGGCGCCCAAAGCACCTCACACGCGCGTGTCACATGTGGCACAGTATCTATGGAAAAAAGGGAAGAATGAAGAACACTCACAAGAAAGAAAGAAGCGATGTCCCAGCGTTATACAGTCACTTAAAGCGCAGAAAAAGGCACCTCCGAGGCTTCCAGGGAGTCCGCCGCCGACCCAGGGCATGAAGCTGTAACCCACAGCATGGGCTGCGAGATCGGTTGCTCCACCGCGGCCGATGAGCATTCCCAAGCCTTCCCAATACCTTGGGAACCAAATCCCTAAACGGGATTTATGGTGCACATTATACCTTTATTATAGGAATTCTATTCATAGTATAGGGCGTATGACGTCAGATTTGTAGGGTTCTCTTTTGGTCCCCGAGGTGCCAACTCTCATTCATACCGAGGACTCCAGGGAGAGCCAAGCGAGTATACGCCGCGAGCCCGCGCCGAGACAATGCGCTGCGAATGTGAAGTCCAGTCCACGTCTCCTATACTCCCTTCCCTTAGAACCTTAAATTACTCTTCTTAGTATTCCCCTTTAAAAAATGTGAAACTAGAAAAAGTCCTAAGGGCGTATAGTCTCAGGATGATGAGGCTGACATCGGAGGACGTAGAGAAGACCACCAAGGAAGCGCAGCCAATCCACGATTGAGGTGCTCCAGGCGACGCCGCGAAATCCAACTGCCGATAGCATCCGAGTCATCAAGATAGGTTGTACTCCGAGATTCGTCACTGTAGTCACATACATGAGTCCATCCACAGGGCAACCCTGCACGACCAAAAACTTGTTCAATACTTGGTTCAGCAACACTGCTGGAAAGCCCAGCATTGTACCGCGGAGATACACTCCCACCAGTGGCACGACAGCAGCTGGCTGACCCATCTGCAACAGAAGCGGCTCGATGCAAAACCACAGCAAGTACATGGGAGGAAAAAAGGCAAAGCAGAACAGCGCGGCGCGTTGAGCCAGCAAGCCCACTTCTGCGAACTCCTTGCATCCGAACGCGTTGGCACCCAAAGCATCATAACCAGAGAGGCCGCCCCCGATCACGGACCGCAGCGTGAGATTTCCCAGCATGTTTCCCATAACTACTGCTCCAAGTGCTGCTGGTCCGAGGCGTGGCCCAGTGATGGTAGCGCCCCAAACTGTTTGCGCTTGGATACATCCAGCTTGTAGCACCAAAGGCAAAGCCCTTCGCAAGATCGTTAGTCCTTCTGCACGAAGCAGTTCGGCGCGGGATTGATCAACAGCCATAGCGACCGACACAGTGGATCGCCACTGGGACTACCGGTTTTGACCGCTTTCCTGGTGTGGGGCTTGCTGCCGCTGGGAACTGCTACAGCTATTATTGATCGTTGTTTGCGTGTCGTATGCACTCACTGAACATATGCCTGGATGTAATATCGCAAGCTCGACCCTAAACCAACCTATATTGAAAGTATGTCCCAATCTGCCCCCCCCCCCCCCTCCTGAAGGAACAAGCCAGTATCTGAGTGAGAACCAGACATGCCTGACTGAAGCTGCCCAGCGGCTTACGACTACTTGCATCAACAGTTGGATGGTACGTCAAGATGCCCTTGCATAAATATCATATGGAGCCTGGGAAAATTGGGTTCACTGATAGTGAGTCGTGGAACCTGAGCCTGTGTCATGGGACCTTCGTCAAAGTCGGCCTGAAACCTTCATTCTCACACCCGCAGCTGGTGCAAACGGTCGGGACAGGACACAACTTGACTTGAGGACAAGTGAGAGCCAGCAGCCAGATCAGGGACACACGTGGCACCAGAGACGCGCAAGCACAATAAAGACTCAGCAATCCGAAATTTCAACACTTTTCTCAGAATGCGGACGTCTTTGGCAGAGGCACCTGCAAGCATCGACACGTATACTGCCCTCACTTAAACCCATCCCACAACTGTCACTTACAGGGGTGTTTCCTGCCGAGCCAAAGGATGGGGCGGTTGCTGAAACAGTCGCATCGCAGATCCTGGGCCCTACGCATCTGACAAATCTTTATGTTTGTCCTACAGCTTATCACATCCACTCCCCTTTCTGACCCCATGCCTTCGGAAGCCCATGCATGAGACGCAAGGCGAAGCAGCAAGCTCCAATCTATTTCGACATGCCGCTGCCTCCGGTCCAGTGCAAGCAAACTAGGGCAACCGTACTTGAACAGCACAGTCGTCCACTGCTCCGCGCTTGACGAAGGTCAACTGGCACAGCAAGCTGTGCGACCGCGTGCCCGCGCAGCTGCCACGGCCTCACCAGGGATGGGCGGGGTTGTGTTTAAACGGTTTCGACCCTCACACTAGCACACGCGCAGGCAAGGCTCCAGTAGTCTTCTCTGTATATTTAAGCGGTTTAAACTTTCGGAGTTTCCCCACACAAGTGGGGTTTGGGGGTTTTGGGGTTTTGGGAGTTTTGGGGTAGGGTGCTACAGCCTAAAAGAGTGTGCTTGCGGCAGCTAAGACTTACGGTTAAGAGAGCTTAGGGCACTTAGAGCCCTCACAAGGTTTAGCTGCTCATTGTTTCAGCTCCAGGATTTTGCAGAGCACCAGTCTTGGGCCAACAATTGCCTGCAGACTGTTTAAACACTTGGCAACAACTTCTGAAACATGTTTCAACGCCCTGGAGCCCCACCAAATGCCTGAACGTTGAGCCTTGCGAACTGGTGAAGCTGTTAAACACTCCAACGCCCGGACTCTGTTCAAACAGCTTAAACGCCTACAATGTCTAAACGTTTAAACGTCAAAAGTGCTTGGCCCGTCCCTGGGCCTCACAGCTGGCAAGGAGAGTCTGATGAGCTCGAGCTTTGGGAGCGTTTGCTGGAGAACCATGCACAGAAGGTGGGCAGCTGAGTACACGGCGGTGAGCGGCAGGCGGTGAGCGGCATGCGGTACGCGGCGGCAACCTGGAAATGAAGAGCACCTTCAAAGCGGGCTCTGAATGTAGACTTGAACGATGCCATCAATGGCATGAGGGGGGTGTCCGTAGCTAAGTAGCTACCTGACTATATATGCTCATCTCTTCGGCCCGGCACCGAGCCACGCCGACGCCTCCATCATCCTCCAACCCGCACGGAGGCCCTCGCAAGGGGCCTCAAAGGCCTCGGCAGGCTTCCAGTCAATCTCCAGGGCAGGAGTCCAGGGCAGGAGTCACATAGAACGGAGATGAACACAGGCGGACAGAGGCACACAAAGGCACCCAAAGGCACACAAAGCCACGCAGGGCACCGCGGATCTCGTGGCACGCTTGCGCAGCCCGGGCCAGGGCGAGCGCAACACCTCCGGAAGCTCGGCTGCGCTTCCATGACCCGGGCATCCTCTGCCACACGACGGAACACCTCGCCGAACCAGGCAGCTCTCCCTCGCTCCGTTTGCTCCGTGACAACTGGCCCGGACAGAGGCACCAAGGCACACGGAGTGCCGAAGGCTGCTGCGCTCTCCCGTGCTTGGCTCATTGGCCAAGCAGGACAGGACGATGTGGACAATCGTGACAATAGCGGCAATCGGACCTGCAACTCCTGCACCATCCTGCACCTACAGAAGACTGTTGCGTGGAGAGCGGCCCCACTGCATCAGGATCAGGAGTTGTCATGTTGTGAAAGCGCGGCAGGATGGCAGTGCATGTTGCTGCCCTGCTTCCACGGGAAGCCAGCTCCTCGAGGTCTCCTGTTGCATTGGCATCGAGACAGATCTAGAGGTGTCGCCGTGGCTGTCTTGCACAAGGAAGGGCATCCGGAAACGGCAGCAGCAAAGACCTCACCACGGCGAGGCGCGCACATTTCTGCTTCGCGAAGCACGGACAAGCACGGCGGCGAAGCAGCACCTCGCAGGAGAACCTCGGTGGCTGTGCCGCTGTGCGTTAGCCCAGCGGGCTACAGTACTGCCTTCCGTGCGGCGGTCGTTCCGGCGGTCGTTCCGGCGGCCTGCGGCGGAGGCGTCGTGATCCGTTCCAGCCGCGGGGGCCGCCGGCTCTGCCGCCCTCACTTGCAAGAAAGTGTGCGAAGTACAGCAGGAACATAAGTCTTAAGTATTTTTAAGTTGTGGGGCGCTTTCTGTCATCTGTGCGGGAAGGTCTCCTGAAGTCGAGGAAGCTTTCACAAGCATGCTGCTGGACATCCTGTACTCGAACTCGCCTCAGCAAAGGAGGCGCCAACAACAACATCTCTCGGGAGTGCCCACGTGGCATCAACGGCAGCATGTGAAGCTTGAAGCCACGGCGGTTGCCAGCTGCTTTCCACGATTCCACTTCTGCATTAACCCACAGCAAGCGCCCGGCTTCCATTTTGCAGGCAGCTGGGGAGCCGCAGTGCACCAGGCCTCCAAGCCCTCAGCGCCCGCGCAAGGTATACTGTCGCAATCTGTAACGCTGTCTTAAAGGCAAAGATTTCGCCTGCAAGAGCGAAGCAGGGGTGCAGCACCGGCACACAAGGCCCGTAGTGGCTGCCCATCCCAGACCGGGTAGCTTGCAAAAGTTGTAAACGCGAGCGGCCCGCTCTGGAAACCAAGCGTGCAGAATCCGAGCGGCCGCCGTGTCAACGTGCTCATCGACGCGCGCGGCATCCGCAACGCCGGAGCACCGCCGCAAGGCAGTCCCTGACGCCTACGCTGGGCTGGCAGCACCATTCTGTGCATGTGCGCAAAGCCGCCTGCGCCACGGGAGCGCGGGGAACACGATGCACGCCGGACCCGTGGCCGTGATCGAGGGCGGAGAAATGATTAACCACGCCGGCGCACTTCACAGCAAGAGCGCCCCCCTCACCCGCCCGAACATCCCCAATGCCCGCCTCCGCGAGCTCCGCGAGCTCCGAGCACTCCGGCAGCTTCGCGGCCGGCTCAGAACTCGCATCCTCTGGCGGCCTCGTGTGCGCGATAAGTGCATCGCAGGGCTGGAAGCTTTCAGGAGGGGCCTGCATGCAGATGGCCTGCATGCAGATGGCATTCCGGGCTTGAGGTTGCAAGGACATGCAAGGCCATGCAAGGCTCGTATGCAACTTGGTCCGGTGCCGGCACACCGCTTCTCGAAACTCCTGACCAGATCCGGCTTCAGGGTCAGGGAGGTGACCACGGCCTGCACTGTGGAGGCGTTGATGTAACGCCCCGCCGACCTTGCCGGCTTGAGAACTGGCGTTTCACACAGGAAACTTCAGTTGGGAGCAGCTACGAGTTATAAATTATAAGGCCTTTTCGAGTGGCCTAGCTTCCAAGCCTCGCAGAGCTGTGGAAGCCTCGAGGCCCTGCGCGCTCTTGCGGCATCCCGTTCAGCGGGCGGTCACGGAGCCGGTGGATCGGCAACTGTAGCTCTGCACTGTGGAGGCTGTCGTATTGGCCATCTCAGAATCTCCGGGCGGAGGCTTCCCCATGGGCGCCGAGGCAGATCAGGGGGCGCTGCACCTGGCTTTGGCACTCAACGAGCTCTGCGGGCCCGGCGAGCTCAGAGCAGTCAACAGAGTGGAAGCGTGCGCACATAAGGCAGAGTCCACAAGCACGGCGGCCAGGCCCAGGGAGAGAGAAAGTAGGAGGGCCTCTTTACGTTGCGTGGCTGCACTTAAAGCCTCAAGGGGACATGCAGCGGATGCGCCCCTGGGCTGTCCGACAAGAATCACACGAGATCGCGCGAGGATGGTGAGCACGGACCCGGCGCCCCTGGCTCTGCTCTCCTTGGCCTTTTGGGCAATTTGGGTGCTTTGGGTGCCTTGGATGCAATGGGCCCCCTGCGCCTTCACCTCGACCTCAAGGCCTTGCGCAGCTGTCACTTATGTGCTGTTCATCTAATGTCCGCTGCTTCTCTCACGAGAGTGCAGAGCTGCCCAACTGACAGCCATTCGAGGAGCATCTGATCGTGGTCGAAAACAGGCACCCGCATGATTCTGGCATTCATGGTCTCGCATTTGGGGTGGCAGTGCTGCGACATCCCTTCTTGCGAAGCTGCCTCAGTCAGGATGTTCGGATGGTCCAGGAGATTTTCGGAAGGTCACCAAAAACAGCAAAGAAGGACCCAGGGCCAAGGGTAGATGCAAAGTGCCAGCTTGCTTTCTGTCGAGCCTCGGCACTGCCTCGGCTAATGGCCTGCGACACGACGACAACACAGAAGCAAAACATGTGATCCAAAGTGAGGCTTTGGATGTCCACCCCGCCCAATGCTTTCTTGGGTAGGCCGGCGGACATCAACTTGATTTTCTCAGCCGGGGCTCCTGGAATTAAAGATGAGTGAATGCAAGCTGCCAGCCAGCATCACGGGACGCGACGCCCCTAGCCCCTTTCCCCCCGGATCAGGAAGCATGGGGCCAATTACAGTACCCCCTCAAGAAGCATGCCCTCAGCTCGATTCAAAGGTCTGAAATGGACCCTAAGTTCGGGGCAGGAGCACATCAGGGCTCATCGCTGAGAGGAAGTGTGGGAAAACCTGAAGCCTGGGACAGCTGCGGCAGCTACGGGCCATTACGGCAGCGCAGCTACATGCAGACTGATCCTCGCAAAGAAAGGCTCTTCTGGGCTCTTCTGGGCTGCTAAGCTCTTTTGTGGGCCACTGCACCTGGGAGATGCGCAAACGCAGGAGCAAACAAGGCACTATATAGATATTAGGCGGCTGACCTTTTTGCAGTGCACCCACAGAAAAAAAAAAAAAAAGCCGGCACGGCGAGAGGCCCCCCAAGATGTGCGGCGAGAGGGCACCCCCCCCCTGCCCCCCGTATATGGCAGCGCTGAGCTGGAGAGGAAAGGACAGGTGGGCAGGCGGGCACGGGGTTTGGCAGGTGCTGGCGCCCAATGCTCTGCTCCCTGGAGGCCCACGGCATCGGGAAACAATCGGCCAGAATGCCAGAGCTTAGGCCGCGGTCCTCCGGTCCAGGGCAGATTGCTTCCAGCTGGTCGCGTGCCCACCTTGAAGCCCTCAGCCTCCCAGCCCTTCACTCAGCTCATGCCTTGCTTGGTGCGCCTTCCAAGCGCGCATTCAAACTGCGAATCTCTTGTTACCCTTGTTGCAGCGAATCTGCGGGGCATGCCTGTGCAGGCCCGAGGCGGAATCCATTGTGTCGGGCGTGAGCCACTCCAAAACAGCTTCGGCCTTAGACGGGCTCCGTCGCACGTACACACGCCGATGCGTGCCGAAGCAAGCTTCGGAGCGACCCTGCAACCGTCAGCTGGATGCAATGGCACACATGTGATGCACAAGCGCTCATCCTTTGGAAGCCCAGGACCTGCTGCCGTGCGGCACCAGTCCATGTCTCTAGCAATGTCCATGACGTGTTCTTGGCGACATCAGCCAGCCGTCCGGGCCGTCCGTATCGACACCATTCGGGGCAACGCCAGACATGGTGAGCCGGGTGCGGGATCCCCCTACAAGAAGATGCTTACAATAAGGGTACTGTGCCCCCAGGACGCAAGAATCCGCCGGCGACTCTGCAGGAATGCGTTTACTGTCTCGGTGTCACGTCATGCGAGATTCGCACAGCTTCTTCGCGACTTTCGTGCATGGCAGAATGGGACTCCCCCCCGTGCTTAGTAGGGGGTGTTGCACAACGGCTACAAAAACCTCAAACCGCCCCGACTTTCTGCAGGCTCAGATCTGTGGAGGGGCTGGGATGCAAGTTCCTGCCCACAAGCGAATATACAGGAGGAAACCAAAGCGCGAGAAGAGTGGCATAGCGGGTACCTCACGAATGGTTTTGGGAGCTGTGGAGAATATTTGGGCATCACCCCTCCTACACCTACTAGCGGGGGGGGGGGGGGTATGTTAGGCAGGTTTTCTGAGCGCAGGAATGCCTAACACTACCCCAGACCTGGGGTCCACTGTTCAGGACACGTGGGAGGCGTGTTAAGGCACAAGTATGAAAAGGCACAACACCGCCTTGGCACGCGGCACTATGAGAAGGCACACCCTGTGACACAAGGCACAACACTGAATGTCAAACCCCAAGTGCACGCAGGTTCGAGGCAAGCAGTCAGGAACGTCAAGTTTTTTGCGTGACTGCATGTGCCTTTGCGTGACTGCATGTGCCTGTGGGCTGGGCTGCAGGTGGGTGGGGACGTTCTTCTAAATGTCGCGCATTCTGCGGAGGGAAGGATGTGATTCGCGGCGATCGCTTCCATGAATAGATTTCAGCAACCCGCAACTTCAACCTTCAAATCTGGCCTCGTAGCCAACCTGCACCTCTGAACCCGGCCTCCCAGGGCTCCGAAGGCCCCAACCCACGACGGCGCAAGCACGCATTACCCTTCATTCCTTCTGTACATCCAACCTGCTGCGACACCAATTGGCGAATGTGTCCGGTCTGAAGGGCACGTGCTTTCGGCGCGCCACTACAAGCCCTTCCAAGCTGAGTCTCCTCCAGCTTTAAAGGCCTTCGCCAAAGAGCATGCGGGTTTTGTTATGCTTTTGTTCGGACGGCACGCCTTGGCGCATGGCCCCAGTACCGGCATCGAGGACATATTAAAACATGCTCTGGCTTCTGGAACGAAGCTTCAGAGAAGCAGAACATGAATCCTGCAGTCGAAGGTTGGGTTGCGCTTGGGGGGGTGTTATGCATTAGGGGGGGTGCTAGGCTTCTTAAATAGCGAACCCCCGGGTATCCGGCCCCTGTTAGGCATTATCTGGGACGGGTGATATTTGGGCTGTACTTCCAAAGACCACAACAGCCGTGGTCGAACCACCATTTGAGCGACCGTCAAGACTCTAGAGGTCGGGCCTAGGTCGTGCAATGGGGGCGTCGCTTTTCAGTGGGAGGCGCTTTTCAATGTTCTCTTTACATCTTTACAAGATTTTACAAGGCTTTTGACACTTCAGCATGCGAATGTCCCACCAAGACAAAACCGCAACTACCATAGTCTTGACCCTTGCTCACTTGCAAGGTACGACCACTGTGGCCAATCGTCGAATCAAGGCCTTCCACATTCTCAGGGCGGTGCGAGGACAAAACAGCACAAGGGGAGTGCAACACGTAATACATGCAGACGTGCTCATAGGCACCCCTTGGCGCCAGCAAGCGCGTGCGTATGCGCCCTTGCAAAGGGAAAACGCGGTCGTTGGCAAAGGCATCTGAGTTGCTGATTGAAGGTCGACATGGTTTTCACCTGGCCTGCTTGCCCGTCAGGCCCCGTTTTGTTGAAGTTGTAAACTTTTCGTGACAAAAGCCTGCAAACGAGCATGAAACAAGCGCGAGAACATCGTGAACAAATGGAGCGATGTGTTGCCGCACCCGACTTCCCGAAAACTCAGCAAGAGGCACACACCCCCAAATGGCAGCGTGAAAAGAACGTGAATCAATGGTGAAATCTGAGGTTGTTACCCTGAGTTCCATCACAACATTGCATCGCACAAAGCGATTTTGGGGTCGTTTGGTTCCTTGGCATACGAGGTCGAAGATAAGGGTTAGAGAGTGATTTGGAGGAGTGCATTAGACACACCAATGTCGCAGCACCCTCAGAAGCATGTGCATCAGGCAGTGAACCCTAAACCCTAAACCCTAAACCCTAAACCCTCAACCCTAAACCTCCCGGGGTCTTCGCAGTTCCGCGGCCTTGTGGCTCTTTGCCACGCTGAGCGATGATGGCGTCGGGCGTGTGCTGGGCGCCCTGGTGGCGCCACGGTGGTAGCGTCGATGTGTGCCGTAGGCCCCACACCAAGAAGCGTTGATGTCAGCTGCAGTTGGAGTGCTCGGTGTCTTGCTTGCGTGTAAGGCTGAAGCGTGGCTTTAAACGCATGGCAAGCATCGAAAGAGCTGTCCCCCTGCCCCCACTGGGAGCCTGACAAGTTGTTCGACAACAGCGAGGGGGTCAGGGGTTAAGGACTGGAGGGCGTTGAGGGCGAAGCTTGAGGCTTGAACTGGTATCAGGTTTTGGATGCATCGGACACCCCTAAAGCCCCACAGCTCTGACAAAAGCACAACACGCCCTTTCTGCTCTTGTGGCGACGATGGTGTGCAAGCTGCTGTTGAATCAAGAGCCCCGCCAGAGGGATGTCAATGCCAGGGCAACGAGTATCTGTTCTTGGGCATCTCTGGGGGAATGAGCCCTGGCAGAGGGCACTCCAAAGCATTCAGCTCCGCAAACATGTGCCACAGATAACCGCCGTCGCGAGCCTCGGAGCAAGCCCGGCAACAGCCTGGTCTTAAACAGATAGCGAACGCCTTGTCTCAAAGGGGCCACGATGATAATGAAGGGAGCGCAGCGAAGAGAAATAGCCCGTTCATAATCTACAATTTGATAGACTTTCAACACTCCCGGGATATAAGAAGCGAGCGGCATATTCACTAAAAGAATGAGTTTATGGACGTACCAAAGATAGCTCATGAATGGTCCTTTTCCTAGTTCTTCACTCTTCATCTTGCATTTGGAGGAAGAACACGAAGAGTTCATGCCTTTTTGTCTTTTATCTTTGTTCACAGGCTTCCTGCATATTCATAGGATTCATTGAAGTCCGGCCAAGGACCGAAAACTACTTGCATGCGTGAGCTCCCTCGACAGATAGACATGTGGGAAAAGACTGAGATTCATACGGCTTCGGAGACCAGCCTTTCGGCTGGGGCTGCTCTTTGCAAAAGTGGAAGACCAGATGGCCACATCAGACTCCCAAGCAGAGGTTCTGGACAGGAACGCGCTCGTCACTCAGAGGCCTTTGTGCACGAGCCCCCTACGTCTTCTCTACGTGCTCAGACCCTCTGACCGTCAAATTTGTCAAATTCGACAGGAGCGAGGAACCTGCTCTTGTCTCTCGTCTTGGGGGCATCTTGATCTTGTTGAGAGGTGACGTCTTAAGGCCCCTTGTTGGGCCTTTG